ATAAACTGAAAAAATACCCGCCACAAATCACACATTTTTTTTGTAGTAACTACATGATGAAGCTGGTTTATAACATTCAAATTTAATTTATTCGGATATAAGGTGAAAAAAATATATTTTAGAAAATAAAGTACAATAATAATTATTAACTAAAAATTAATTATTAAAATTATAAATAATTTTAAATTTTATTTTATAAAAATTTGATTTAATCACACATCTTAATCGTTGATATTATAAACTATTGTGTGAGAACAATTTATCCTTTAAAATACTTTATTACTTTAGAATAGTGAAATCCAATTTATTCATATTTGAATCTTTCTTTTTTCTTATATTGCTTGTTAGTTCTTCTTTGTATCTATGTATGCATTTTTGGAAACCCAAGAGCTCCATAGATATCGTCATTTTCCAAATCAGCAAGTGATGGTGAACATTAAATTCACAAAATATCATAGACAGTAGCCACTAGCCAGGTTGTGCAACAATAACATTATCAGTTGATACATAGACCAGTTTGAAATAATAAAACAATATAGTAACTGTCAGCCATCAATCTCCATCATTTCATTTCATTTCCTTATTGTTCGATGGCAGAAAATTTAAGATTCATCGCGCATCCACCTATAATGCATGTAAGGCATTTATGCTAAGATCGAATTCGAAACTACCACGTTTTATTTATTTATTTGAAAAGAAATTAAAACTACTGTTTAATTTAATGAAAAACGAAGACTTCTTTTTAAAATCTTATCTATGTATTAGCTGCTGATTGTTGACAAACAATTTTTTTAAGGATAAAATATTATTCATGTTCTTAAAAGTGTATGTGACTCACACTTTTGTTCATGAAAGAATAATTTTTTTTATAAAAAAAAGTCCTTAAAATTTAAAACATTACTCATTTTAATCCAAAAAATTCACAAAAAAAATGTAACTTAAATAATACTAAATTATTACTTTTAGAGTGTTAATTAAATAGAATAATTAAAACTTAAAAAAAAATAAAATTTCTTTACTTTTAGGAATTAAATTGACAGCAACATATATTTTCAGGACTCAAAAAGTATTTTATTCATTTTTTTTTAAATAGGAGAGACACATTAATTATTATAAGTACAATCAATAAATTCAAACAAGTTATAGATCAATATGCACTAATTAGAAGGAAAAAAAAATATTTATCTTGATCTTAAACCATTCTTGAATACTGATAAAAAAAAATGTCTTGTTTAAAAATAAAATTTATATAAACTATTTAGTTTATATTAAAAATATAAAATTGATCTAATACTTTTTAAAATGATTAAAAAAATAGCATATTTAATCTTTCTTAACCTATGTACACATGTGTGAGCTAGTATGACAATATGAGATAGACATTTCCTTAAATTAAAAAAATACGTCTTGTTGGAGTGTAGATACTCTCCAATAGTAAAACTTTTGAGCAAGAGAAATACGCAAAGATGTTGAAAGGTTAATTTTTTCAACAGTTATCCTTACTTTTACTTTCTGTATATCTCTCTCCTACCCAAATTTTTTAGCACAAGAGATGATACTCACTCGTCCTGTTCAGGCACCAAAAATCTAAAAACTAAACCAAGTTCAGACTTTAGAGATCCATGCACCATGCATGCATGCATGCTTGAACTTATATTTGGTGTGATTTACATACTTAATTTTTATATTATTTTTTTTATCTATTTCTTTCGTCCCTTTTTATTTTTTCACCATTTCCATTTTACTAAACAAAACATTAGAAGAAAAAAAAACAGAAATATTGACAATATATTCTTTCTAACACATTTTTATTAATTAAAATCAATAAGAAAATTACAAAATCATAAGAATAACTTATTAAATAAAAAGTGAGATTCAAAAAATCTCATACTTTTCAATAAATTTCACCTGATAAATATTGTATTAAAAACTGTATCGTTAATTTTTCTGTAGTTTTTTTTAGTTTTTTTTTTTTGCAACGTAGATAATTGTTGTCAATATAATTATTCTATGAAAAATATTAACCAGATACTTTCAATTATACTCCATTAAACATATCATTGTTATTGATTAAAATATACTAAAAACTAAAAAGTTATAAACAAAACTTAATCTTACTACTTTATTTTATCTCAAAATTTTAGTCTTTTGAGATCAATGTACATGAATTAGCAAATATTTAATAGGTTTAAATATATACTACATGATCTCAAACTTTTTAATTACATGATTTTGGTAGAATATGAAACTATATTTATATATAGTCTTTACTATTCTATATAATTCTTTTTTAACTACTTATTTGTTCATTAGAAAATTAAGTGAATATCTTAGATGGTAGTACAGTAGCAATAAATATGAGTTAAGTTGAACTATATAACAACCCACTATAATTCCTACATTATACGACACAATAACCATCTTAAAATCATATATTGAAATAAGTACGACATGCATACATTAGTCATGCATATGTTAATATAAATATATACAACTAAGTTATTAGCCGAACAACGATAACTATCTATACAAAAATTCACCTCCAATAGGTAGTCAACAAAACATTCAGCTCCAAACGCCACTATGTGGCCTCCATTACGGCACTCCAGTCTTATTCCTATCCTGCTCTCATACCACGTATGATCATCGTAGTCCAAACCACATGAAAACATGCAAGGATAAGTTGAGAAAAAGAAACAACATATATATATATATATATATACAACATTGAAACATCACATTATCATCTCATCTTTGACAACACAGTAACAAAGCATCATAGTATACAACACAATTTAACATAATCCAATTCTGATTCATCACAACACACAATTCAACACAATATATAAACAATACAATCAATTCAACACAACAACTATATGCGTTGTCACACATTTTAACTTGCAGATCTCTTACAACACAGGATGAACCGTTTAAGTGGCTTGATCCTATCGAACCAACAACACAGAGTGATCTTTTACGCTTACTAAATCAATAGCAAATTGGATATAAATCCACAACACAATAACTCTATTTCTCAGATGTTGTCACTTAAACAATGAAATATAGTATTAATGCCATGATAAAATAGTTTGATACAGGTCTACCACAACATTAACTAGCTTAATTAAGCCTTCTATGGGATTAGCCCATCGGCTATCCTCCAAATACTACAACATTTTGATACTCGATTAGGAACTAAGTTCATGACTTCATACTCTACTTGATTAGTCACTTGTAATTAGTATAGCTCGACCTAACCCTTATACTTGGTCGCTTCATACACGTGTGCCTCGACCTTGCTCACATACGATATCAACAAAGTCTTAGAGGAGAAACAACACAATACCCACTTCAAGGGTTAACTTCCCAAGAAGGGTTTTTTTTTTTAACAAATTGGACTCTTGGAGCATCATAACACAATATCCACACAATGGGATTTGTAACTTTAAAAAATATCCCCTCTAGTCTTAAGTGGTCAACACAAATCAACATCACATATCAACAACACAACAACTCAGTATAATTTTTAATACAATAACTTAATCAACACACAAAATTTTAACTCATATCCCCCATCATCACAACTCATATACAACACTATGATCAATATGCCTCTCAAAAACACATCAATATTGTTCATATAAAATCCTAACACAGCTACACAACTTCACATCATGTCAACTTACACAACATAAGCATCATATATCTTTAAAACACTTACATCTAAAGAAAACAACAACATAAATCAACGTAAACAACTAAAACAACTTTCAACTTAACCAAATCACTTATTATGAAATGACAACCTTCACATAAAATAGCGTATAGAGAGTTTTACTACTCCTATCATGCTCATATCTCATATGAAAGACAAGAAGATTTTTCACAACTTTCATGAAGAACTCAGGTTCTAATTCTCTCATCTATCATATTAAAAATTGTAAAAATCGCAACAGTTTACCTAATTGCTAACAGCTTAGCCTTTACTCACTAAAAAGGTCATAACTGGAGTTCTAAACCAACTTTTTTAGGTGAATCCAATGTTATTGGAAAACTAATATCTAAGACTGTTAAGTCTCAATTTTACCTCTTTTTGGATGAGACTTATTAAACAAATTCCACTCATCCTCTGAACCATTGCAATATACTTGTTATATTTTTGATTCATTTTGTGTGCAGATATAACTAACCCAAATTCAGCTAACAATACCTTAATACACCTCATTTTTTGTGCAGGTATTGAGCTAGTGAATTGAGGATGGAAGACGTTAGGATTGGAAATCTAAGGAGCTAAGGAGCAGAGCAGAGTGGTTGCGCCGGGCGCAATATGAACCGCGCCGGGCTTGAGAAGAGCAAAACATTCAATCTCTACAAGTTACACATGCGTCAGGCGCGAAACTACCCCACGTTGATATGAGGTTGCCAGTGCATAGGGGATATAATTGAATTGAACGGTCCTTGTTTTATTAAGGTTGCCAATACATAATTTAAGTTAGAAATGATCTCTATCAAGGAAACAACCAAAAGTAATATATACATATGATACAATACTTATCGATTGCTCACATAGTGTTAGCGTCAGTAAATGCTAATAATATAGGCGGG